GCGAAGGAGGAAAATCCATGATTAGAATATATTATATGAAAAATATTTTCAATAAAGAAAAGTACTATGAAAAATTGATAATGTGTCTTTATCTTTGATCATAGCTCTCATTCTATTCTTGAAGAAAATTAAAATCATGTGTATGTGTATGTGTATACACATGTACATGCATGTATGAACATATGATTTGGTCCATGGAGTGTGGATGTAAAGATTCTTATGTTCCACTGTGGATTTCAGGAATCAAAATCAGGTTAATAGGCTTGATGGCAAGCACACAAACTCACAAGCTCACAAGCCTCTAATTCTTTTATGCTTATACAGAGTCGATTAGATCTCCAATCCATTTTTATAAAACAAAAAAACTTTTTTCCTTTATTCAAGATTTATTTATTTATTTATTTATTTATTTATTTAATGTATATGAGTATACTGTTGCTGTCTTCAGACATACCAGAAGAGGGCATCATGGCCTATTGCATATGGTTGTGAGCCACCATGTGGTTGCTGGGAACCACTGAGCCATCTCTAATCCTCCAATCCACTTCATAAAAGACTGTCAAATGCTTTGTTCTCATTACTTGTTTCCTGATATATGGCAGATAAATTTTACCTATCATATTATTTGTTATTGTTGCTCAAATTTTTACTTCATGTAATGTCTTCTAATTAACTATATTTGCCAAGTAGATAAAGTTTACTTGCCAGCATCTAGAGTCTTAGTATCATGTTACTTTGCTTCTTGGTAGAAGGAATACATAAGAGATGTTTATGTGGAATGCTCCTGGTAATTTGATTAATCTGATACTAGAAGATACGTGTCCTTATATAACACCTTTCCAGCTATCTTGATTTCTGTCTACATTTAGGAATTAGCTACTTTATGAGAGAAGGTTGGTTCAAGAAATCATATCCATGTAAATGACAAACAGATGAAGAAATAAAAAAAAGAAAAGAAAACTTTGTCTTGGAAAAGAGAAGTCTCAGTAAAAGGCAGTATCTTCTATTAATTGGAGGAGACCTCTATCCTATTTTAGAGAATATAAGTATATGATCAGTGACTGACATGTTACAATTAGTGAAATAAGTCTTGAAAAGGAATATCATAGTCAAAACAATACCAGACATACTTATTTTTAAGAAAATTATAAAATATATATTAAATAGATGTTAAAGACTTTAATAATCGTAATTAAATTTGTCTAAATCTATTAATCCAAGTTTTTCATAAGCATTCAGAACTCATCTTGTAAGGAACTGATATAATAGTAGTACTTGACAAACTGTGGTAATATTAGGATTGCCTGGGAATTCATTACAAATATAACTTCTAAAGATGTATTGTGACCATGAGGGAAGACTGTTTAACTTCAAGTCATGTGATTTTAAAACTGTCATGTTTGCTTCAAAGGAAATCAATTATTTTGAAAATGATGCACCCATTTTCTGAATATGACTGCACCTATTGAAGATGATTTTATGACTTGATTCAGTTTAGGAAAACTTTTCAGTTTGCTATATACTACTTTGAAGATTACATTTTATGAAATTCAAATATAGAACAAATTTTCTCAATTCAAATTTAGCATCTGGATTGAAATTAATCATATATGTAAACTATAAACCAGATCTTAAAAATCTAGTGCAAAAAGAAGAAAATAAAAATCCAATTAGGATCGAAAAATATGTATTTGTGTGTGTGTGTGTGTGTGTGATATGTTTGTGCACATGTATACAGATACCCTGGAGACTAAAAGGGGGTGTCAGATTTCCTGGAGCAGAATTTGGGTGTTCTCAAAAAAAATAGCAAGCACTCTTAACCACTGAGCCACTAATGCAACTTAAAACAATGTTTAAGCTTAATTTTTTTAAAGAATGTTTTGGTGGTTGGATGGTTGGTGCTTGTGGATGGCCCAGAGGACATTTGATCACCTGAAACTAGAGTTAAAGATAATTGTAAACTACCATGTGGATCCTTGAAATACAACCTTGGTCATCTGCAAAAGCAACAAGTATACATAAACACTTAGCCATCTCTCCAGCCCATTCTTTTTTTTTTAATTATCTAATTATATTTTACTTTTTAATTTTCTTTTTTTAATTGGTTATTTTATTTACTTACATTTCAAATGTTATCGCCCTTCCTGGTTTCACCTCTGCAAATCCCCTATCCCATCACCCCCTGCTTCTGTGAGGGAGCTCCCCACCCACCCACTCCTACCTCACCACTATAGCACTCCCCTACACTGGAGCATCAAGTCTCCAGAGGACCAAGGGCCTCTCTTCTCATTGATGCCAGATAAGGCAATCCTCTGCTACATAAGCAGCTGGTACCATGGGTCTCTCCAAGTGTACTCATTGGTTGGTGATTTAGTCCCTGAGAGCTCTGGAGAGGGGGTCTAGTTGGTTGATATTGTTGTTCTTCCTATGGTATTGCAAACCCCTTCAGCTTCTTTGAAACTGGCTTCTCCTAACTCTTCCATTGGGGTCCCCATGCTCAGTCAGATGGTTGACTGGGAGCATCCACATCTATATTGGTCAGATCCTGGCAGAGTCTCTCAGGGGACAGCCATATCAGGCTCATGTCAGCAAGAGGTTCTTGGCATCAGCAATAGTGTTTGGTGTTTGGGCTTGGTGTCTGCAAATTAGATAGATCTCTAGGTGGAGCAGTCTTTGAATGGCCTTTCCTTCAGTCTCTGCTCTACTGTTTGTCCCTGCGTTTCCTTAAGACAGGAATAATTCTGTGTTAATATTTTTGAGATGGGTGGGTGGCCCCATCCCTCAACTGGGGGCCATGCCTAACCTCTGAATATGGTCTCTGCAGGTTCTCTCTCCCTTTTGTTGTGCATTTCAGCTAACCTCATCCATGTTGGGTTCTGGGAGCCTCTTGCTTCCCTGACATCTGGGACTTTCTGTTGACTACCCCCAGTTCCCCATCCCCCATTGCTACATACCCCTGTTCAATTTCCTGGCCCTCTGTACTTCTCCCCTGTCTCCTCCCACACCTGATCCTGCCTCCCTTTCCCCCCTTCCCCCCTTTCCCCTACTCTTTCCCTCCCAAGTCCCTCCCTCCCTCTTCCTCCCTTGATTATTTTGTTCCCCCTTCTAAGTAGGACTTTAGTCTTCCTTCTTGAGCTTCATATGGTCTGTTAGTTGTATTGTGGATATTCCACACTTTTTGCCTAATATCCACTTATCAGTGAGTACATACTATATGTGTTCTTTTGTGATTGGGTTACGTCACTCAGGATGATATTTTCTAGTTCTAAGCCATTTGCCTAAGAATTTCATGAAGTCATTGTTTTTAATAGCTGAGTAGTATTCTATTGTGTAAATGTACCACATTGTCTGTATCCATTCCTCTGTTGTAGGACATCTGGGTTCTTTCCAGCTTCTGGCTATTATAAATAAGGCTGCTATGAACATAGTGGAGCATATGTCCTTGTTATATGTTGGAGCATCTTCTGGGTATATGCCCAGTAGTGATATAGCTGGGTCCTCAGATAATACTATGTCCCATTTTCTGAGGAACTGCCACAATGATTTCCAGAGTGGTTGTACCAGCTTACAATCCCACCAGCAGTGGAGGAGTGTTCCTCTTTCTCCACAACCTTGCCAGCATCTCTCCAGCCCACTCTTAAGATTTACTTTGCAAGTGTGTGTGGATGTGTCTGTCTATCTGTCTGTGTCTGTGTTACTGCATCTGTGTCTATGTGTGCAATTGTCCAGAGACCAAGGGGGTTTTGAAGTCCCTGGGACTTAACTTCTAGATATTTGTGAGCCATTACATGAGTGCTGGGACTGAACTTGAGTCCTTGGCAAAAGCAGCAACTGTCATTAACTCCTCCTGAAATCTTTCCAACCGCTGTGATATGTTTTGTCCCATGGCAGAGGTCTGTAAATTGGAAATTTTCTAATCTTTTTATATTAATGGAATAAATTATGGTGGCATGGTATTTACACACCAGGCAAATAAGACATTTTCAGAAAAAAAACAAATTAGAACTTAAATGTTCTTGTATATAAAAGTAAATGCATCCCTCCCTCATAAAGGGTAACCTTAACTATGGTCCAAGCAGTGTCTGCTTTTTAAACTTTATTTTTTTTTAATTTATTTATTGCGGTGATGGGGATTGAACCCAGGGCTGTAGACAGACTAAGCAAGTGTACTACCATTGAACTATACTCCCAACCAACTATTTGTTTATCTTCCAAGATCTGGCCTTACTGTGTAGCCCAAGGTGGTACTGAACTTACCATGACTTGTTTATTCCACTGGATTTTACATGTGCACATTGAATGTTTCCCAGATATAATTCATGGGAAGTTTTTTTTTTTTTCTTAAGGACAATGAAATGAAATTGAGTGCCTTGAAGTACAGCTACACTATGTTTAACTTGTTTATTTAGAACAAAATACTGTTTTCTTAGACAGAGATGTAGATAAATTTATCTTTTATATTTCATTGATTTCAGAAAGTTCTTTGGAATATGCTCCTTATTTTGCTAGCTAGAACAATTTGTAATGAGACTTTCACTATGTTAAGTCTTTAAAATAATGGTTCTCTAGGTTTATATTATTAGATCAATTAGATTTATATTTATTTTTAGGTAGCTAGAAACATCGTCTAGAGACTGGCTTTTGGTTGCTGAATGTGTTTGGGTATCCATTTACAGTAATGAATATAAGTAGTGATATCACTATTGCTATTTTTAAACATCCATTGGTCATCTGGAATGTGCTAAAGTCTGAATATAACATGGTTAATTATGTTACTGTTCCTGCCCATGTTGACTAAAGGGAGATATTCCCATTATGAGGAAGCTATCAAATGCTTTGGTTTGAAGTTAAACATTAATTCACTTCTAAGTTACTGAAAGATGTTTAGAAAGTTGATTTCTGAGGAGCATCTGGCAGTTTTCTTATTGTATATCAACTTCCTACATTAGCTTCTTATTGTTTTTTTATGCTTAATATTGTATCTTTTTTTGTTTTTTTAGTTTTCCTCACAGGAGAAAAAGCCAACACAGTATTAAAACGCTACCCAAGAGCCAATGGGCTTTTTGAAGAAATAAGACAGGGCAACATTGAGCGTGAGTGCAGAGAAGAAGTCTGCACATTTGAAGAAGCCAGAGAGGCTTTTGAAAATCATGAAAAAACTGTAAGTATACTGGCAACTTAAAACATGTTCACAAGATTACTTACCATTTGATATATAGTGAAACCTACATTACCAAATAACATGAATTGCTTTTAGCTAAAAGTGAATTTACTAAAAAAGTCTTCATGTAACAGCTAATAAATAATGTTCTGTATAGGAGAAAACTAGACTTAGTTCCCTCTGTATTGGTATGTCTTTGAGGGCCATGTTTCCACAGTGCTCTGGTTAGCTAGCAGTTATGGTGGCAAGGCATCCAGTTCATACAAGGCTTTGATCTATAAAGTAGGTGGTGTCTTTATCTCTCAATGCTTAATCAGAGAGAGAGAGAGGATGAAGGAAGGAAAGGCGAACAGTGTTTTGATGTTTTATTTCTCCTGAGTTTGGGATATAGCTCAGTGGTAGGATGCTTCCCTTGTATGCTTTTGAGATCCCAGGTTCCAACTATAGAACCAGAAAAACCTTTGTTTTAGTTCTCTATACTTTTGGTCTCCTCTTCCACATTTCACAAAACTGAATTATATCACTTTACTCTGACTGCAGGCTATTCAAAGATAACAGGATGTCTAAGCAGAAGCAAGGATGTAAATTTTCTAGGGCTTTTCTACACTTGTAAATTAAAACACCAGAGGTAGCTGTTTGTAAAGATCCATGCCTATGCACCAAGAATATAATGGTGTATGCTAAATAAGTAGGATATCATGAACTATAGGGGCATTCATTATGCCACAGCAAATAGTGAGAATGTACACATTTTAAAGAAGGAGAGTTTGATCTTTTATTTGGTAAAGAAGGTTCTCAAGATGAGAGAAAGGACCTCAAAGAAATTGCTAGATTCCCATGCTCAAAGCAAAAGCAAAATCTGTTTATAAATTAACAAGCTATGATCTTCATATTCATAAGCTTTACTAGTTTTATAAGTAGTTTATCGTCATATATGTACTGAATTATGGGTATAGTTTTCTTTGTATGGCTATGTAGTTGTTCAAACACCATTTAACAAACAGCCCTTCTTCACAGTCACTTAGTAGATACATGGTTTCCATATGTACTTCACCTATTTCTAGATTTTTCTATTCTAGTTTATCCTTCTGCTTTCAGAAGATTTGTTTTATGTTCTCATATAAAAAAGAAGTAGTTCTACGTTGTTATAGTATTCTACAGTAGTTTGTGAAATTTCTTACCTACCAAAGAGACAATGGGCTGCCTTTGTCATGTGAATTTTAGTATTAAATTGTTTAGCATACGAAAAGTATTTTATCAGTATTTTATTGGGATTTTTTTTCAGTTTGCACTACTTCCCAAATAATCTGCTCTTGCCATGGTAAGTAGTAACTTCACCCATGTACTTGTTGCCTCTTTACATCAAAACCATTTATTATGGTTTGATTATATGTGACGCCACAGGCTCATATATTGAAAGTTTAGTTTCCACCTACTGGAAACTTTAGAAGGTAGGGCCTCTGGAAACAAAGTAGGCCACTGGGAGTGTATCTTTGAAAGGTATCTTCCTTCTGCCTTCTGCTGTCTGACCACCATGAGGTGAGTAGACTGCCACATTTTCAGATACCATGCTATTCTGCTTTGCCTCAGACTCAAAACAATATATCCTACAAGCCATTCTTTGATACCTCTTAAGCCATAAGCAAAATTTAATCCCCTTTAAACTGTTTCTTTCAGGTATTTACTACCATCTTCAGTCTATTTTTTTAATCCTTACCACATAATATCACATTTAAATGTATTTATTCGTTAGTTTTTGAGAATTTTGTACAATGTTGTCATATTCTATCTCTTCCCAAACTTTTCCAAGATCCACCTCCACTTCTCTGAGTACTCAAGTTTTTTCCTATTTATTTAGTTTGTAGGAACAGGGAGGGGCACATGCCAGTAGGTCAGAGGACAATTGCACATGTTCTCTCTTTCCATCATGTGAGGGGCTTGAATGCAGGTCACCAGGCTTGGTGGCAGATACTTTTACTGACTTAGTCATCTAATTGATATTTTCATAGTTTTTGAAATAGCAAGCTAGAATGACATTTTAACTTTTCTTCACTATGCATGGTGGTTCATACATATTGAAGCAATATTCAGGAGGTAAGTAAGAGTGTGAATTAAGGCTAGACTATGTAGTGAGTTATAGGCTAGTCTGGCCATACTAGTAAGAACAAGTCTCAAAATCCAAACAAAGCAACATATATCTCTTCTCCGCAAAGGCTTTATATCTCCTCCAATAAAAGCCAAAGAATTCAGAATCACCTGTAAGGTACAGTTGTTTTCACTCTGTACTAGCACTTCCCTATGGAAGAAATCTCATATCTCCCATGACTCCATCCCCTTAGTGATGTTGTAGTAGCTTTTTTTCTGTTTCCTTACAATTAATACAAAGCCTATGCCCTGTCTTGGGACTTTGACACTTGTTCTTTTCACTTGCAAATGGTCATTGTGGAGCTTCACTTTCTCAATATGAAAGTATTCTATGTCCTGTGATTTCTCCCCCAGCACTTATCACCATGTAACAGTGATTTTTTTTATTCATTAGTTCTGAATAAATGTACAGTACTATTGCTCATTGTTTGGTTCATAGCTATGAAGTTCTGACACATACTAGGGATGAAATAAATACTTGATGGAGGAAAGAAGTAATCAATAATGATATTATAAAATACATTTAAAACATCAAAAGGAGTCATTTAAATTGTGTTCATGAGTTAGGTGAGAGATATGGACTTTGGATTTTTCTTTTTATTGGATGTTTTATTTACATTTCATATGTTGTCCACTTACCCCATCCCCCACCCACCCAGTAACCCCGCTATCCCCTCACCCCTCCTCCTGCTTCTCTGCGGATGTAACCCCTACCTAACCCCCCCACTCCCACCTCCCCACCCTCAAAATTCCCACCCCCTGGGGCATCCAGCCTTCATGAGGTCAAGGAGCTCTTCTTCCACCTATGCCCAGCAGGGCCCTCCACTCTTACTTATTAAGCTGAAGCCCTAGATCCCTCCCTAAGTGCTCCCAGGCTGGTGGTTAGGACCCTGGGAGCTGTGGTTGGTTGGTATTGTTGTTCTCCTCATGGGGCCAGAAACCCTTTCAGCTCCAATGGCCTTCACTCTAACTCCTCCATTGGGGAACCCCATTATCAGTTCAATGGCTAGTTGTGAGCATCTGCCTCTGAATATGTCAGACTCTTGAAGACCTCTGAGGAGACATCCATATCAGGCTCTTATCAGCATGCACTTCCTGACTTCCACATCAGCATCTACCTTTGGTGACTGCACATGGGATAGATACTCAGGTGGAATGGTCTTCAGACAGCCCCTCCTTCAGTTTCTGTCCCTCACTTTGTCTCCATATTTGCTCCGTTGAGTATTTTGTTGCTCCTTCTAAGAAGGACCGAATCACCCCCACTTGGTCTTCCTTCTTCATGAGCTTCATGTGGCCTGTGAGTTGCATCTTGGGCATTTCAAGGTTCTGGGCTAATATCCAATAATCAGTGAGTGAATACCATGTGTGTTCTTTTGTGATTGGCTTACCTCACTCAGGATGATAATTTCTAGTTCCATCCATTTACCTAGGAACCTCTCGAATTCATTGTTTTTAATAGCTGAGTAATACTCCATTGTGTAAATGTACCACGTTTTTTGAATCTATTCCTCAGTTGAAGGACATCTGGGTTCTTTCCAGCTCCTGGCTATTATAAATAAGGCTGCTATGAACATAGTTGAGCATATGTCCTTGTTATATGTTCGAGCATCTTCTGGGTATATGCCTAGGAGTGGTATAGCTGAATCCTCAGGTAATGCTATGTCCAATTTTCTGAGGAACCACCACACTGATTTCCAAAGTGGTTGCACCATCTTGCAGTCCCACCAACAATGGAGGAGTGTTCCTCTTTCTCCACTCCCTCACCAGCATCTACTATCACCTGAGTTTTTAATCTTAGCCATTCTGACTGGTGTGAGATGGAATCTCAGGGTTGTTTTGATTTGCATTTCCCTGATGACTAAGGATACTGAACATTTCTTTAGGTGCTTCTCGGCCATTCGAGTTTCCTCAGTTGAAAATTGTTAAGCTCTATACCCGATTTTTAAATAGGGTTATTTGTTTCTCTGGAGTCTAATTTCTTGAGTTCTTTGTATATATTGGATATTAGCCCTCTATCAGATGAAGGATTGGTAAAGATCTTTTCCCAATTTGTTGGTTGTCATTTTGTCCTATTGACAGTGTCCTTTGCCTTACAGAAAGTTTGCAATTTTATGAAGTCCCATTTGTCAATTCTTGATCTTAGAGCATATGCCATTGGTGTTCTGTTCAGGAACTTTTCCCCTGTGCCCAAGTATTTGAGGCTCTTCCCCACCTTCTCTTCTATTAGTTTCTGTGTATCTGGTTTTATGTGGAGGTCCTTTATCCACTTAGACTTGAGCTTTGTACAAGGAGATATGAATGGATCAATTTGCATTCTTTTACATGTTGTCCTCCAGTTGAACTAGCACCATTTGTTGAAAATGCTGTCCTTTATCCACTGGACAGTTTTAGCTCCTTTTTCAAAGATCAAGTGAACATAGGTGTGTGGGTTCATTTCTGGGTCTTCCATTCTATTTCATTGATCATCCTGCCTGTCTCTGTACCAATACCAAGTAGTTTTTATCACTATTGCTCTGTAGTACAGCTTGAGGTCAGGGATGATGATTCCTCCAGAAGTTCTTTTATTGTTGACAATAGTTTTCGCTATCCTGGGTTTTTTGTTATTCCAAATAAATTTGAGAATTTCCTTTTCTAACTCTGAAGAATTGAGTTGGGATTTTAATGGGAATTGCATTGAATCTGTAGATTGCAATCTGTAGATTGGCAAGATGGCCATTTTTATTATATTAATACTCCCAATCCATGAGCATGGTAGATCTTTCCATCTTCTGAGATCTTCTTTGATTTCTTTCTTCAGGGACTTGAAGTTATTGTCATACAGGTCTTTCACTTGCTTGGTTAGATTCACACCAAGG